ACAATTCTGCTTTTTTACGCACCGCTTAAGCCAAAAATGAGCTTCGTCGCTGAACACAATTTTTCGATAAGAAAAAGTGGATCTTCGGCCAACTTTCCAAGAGCCCATTCACCAAAAGTTCTGCGTTGCGGTAGGTCGTTCGGCTTCAATTCTTGCACCAGCTGTATTTTGAAAGGCCTCACACTTAAATCCTTCCTCAAAATAGTTCAGTTGAGTACAGATAACCAATAGCTGAGAACGGCGGCGAATCGACAATTGATTGTCGTCATTAACACTGTCCGATACAGCTGCGATGTTTTCTTCAGATCGAACTCTACCTAAGTAAGGTGGTTCCATGTTCCACAATGTGAACTTGGAGGGAAATTTCGTCACAATAGCCGGAATAGCCGCTCGGTCGATTAAACTGACCATGAAATGAAAGAAGCGCGCGATGAACTTTCTTAACAGCGCACGTATTTTGATAATAAAATTCAATAATTTGAGAGCGTTGTTCGTTTGTAATACGATTGATGCTTGATAGTGATACAAAACACGAAACGTGCGTCAGCTGTTTAAACCAGTGGGACCAAAAAGATAATAGCAAAAAAAAATCCCCCTTTAAATATATACGTGTACATTCAATATAAATTTTTATATTTATGACAAGTTGAGCATACAATTTTCGTCATATTTTCAACTAAATATATACATAATTTTCTATGCCACTGTTGCGTAATTATCTTCACATTTACTCGAATTGCGCCTATGATAATAGCGTTCATATCTATTACTATGAACTCGTTTGTTCATAAATCTATGCTTGGATAAATATGTTATATACATAGGAATGTAACTAGATACTTTTATGAATAGATTAAAATAATCACTTTTGCACAGAAATTAGCAACAAACTTTAACGGCACTAATTGCTGCGCGAAAATTCGCAATTTCAAATTTGCACACTGTGAAAAAAAAACTACATTATTTTTTGTTTGTTTATTTATTCTTTGAGTTAATTGTCAATTTTATTGTTGTTTAATGTGAATATTAATGTCCACACTTGCTGCTACTCAGTAGTTTTGACGGCCATTAACTCACAAATTGCCACCTCATTTGCCATAGCTAAAGACAATGAAAATTACAATATAAAAATGTACATAAATAGAAAAATCAAAATTAACTATAGACTCATGCTTCTAGTAGTAATTAGAGGAAAAAAAGAAAAAAAAATTAATAGTGTCACTTGAGATCTCATTTTATTGTTATTTTGTTCGAATTGAGGTTATTCATAGCATAATTGGGGCAATAAAATTGTTTACCATTTTCTATTGCATTTTCAAGAATAAATTACAAACACTATCAGCCAAATTTTATTTTCAGTACTTATTTTTCAATCTTAAAAGTGCATTTACATATATTTTTTATACCTGTCAACGGTAGTGTGCATGGGTATTTTAACTTTGTACACTCAATCAATCGGTAGAAATTTAAATGTATAGAGAGCAGCGTAACAGAAAGACACCTGCAAGCTGCCTAGACTCAAGTTAGCTTCTCTAGAACAAATAATTTCAAATAAATGAAGAAGAATTAAAAATAAAAGCCACCTCGAGTACTCATAAAAGATTTACTATCTCCGCTTCCTTTTTCGAATTGAAAGTATTTTAGGTATGACCCAATTGATATTCTAGAATTCTGTAAAAAGATTGAGCTCATTTTAATAGAAGCGGCATGAGATAGTTCCACGAGTTGAGTTGATTTGATGTGTTTGTTAGCCATTAACATGTAATCAGTACACTTGGAGTTATAAGCCTTCCAGTACAACACTGTAAGCTTCCTGGCATCTTCGGTAGTGCTTAATAAGCCCAACGATATAATTAAAGCTTTCTAAACTTAACCAAGTGAGATCTTCAAAATATAATGTCAGTTTTAGAGACCTTTTCTCTTCTACGATTCTTCAGCAGCAACAAAGTGCGTGACCAATTTCGGGTTACTAATGAAACTCGCTTGTAGGGTGCCGCGGTCTTTTTTAAAAATAGAAAAAAGTATGCACGTTTGTAATTGTGTGCGCTCACCCCGTTCGTATTCATACTGTTTTTTGAGGGTAGAGTAATTACTAGATCCTCGTTATTATCCTGCTACAAGTGCAGTATCCCTTTGCCACTTTAAAGTGCCTGAATATGGTCGTAAAGGCGGAGTGTAGTATCTCACCACGGCCTACCCAGTGTTGGAAAAGTTCCTCGCTTAGCTAAATAGCGAATCTAATTTTTGCAATAGAGATATTCTCGGTATAGCTAAATGTGGCGTGTAATTGAGGCATGGCTCCTAATTGTATTTATTTATGCCTAAGTTGTCTAACGACTCCAATTTCTTACATTAAAGTCCCATTAAACGATGCCCTGCTAATAAAGTGGGTGTTGATGGACAATCGGTCCAGAAGTAGTAGATGTTTTATGGGCCAGATTTGCATATTAACATTAAACGTAGTATCAGTGAGTCATCTGCTATTCAACTATATTCTGACGTGGGCAAAGGGAAATCTCTACCATGAGAGTTTTCTAGAGGTTAAAATCGTTTCTCACACGCCGAGCACTGTTTTCAGATATTTCCATGTCACTTCAAAGTGTTTTTACATAATCTTTTTCGAGATCTAATAGCAGTTAGGTGGTCAGAGTATATAGTAATGACAGGGGTGTATTCTCTAAGCGCTCAAAAAAAATGAAATATTTTATATAACTATTCCCTTCTCTCCGTCCGCCCTAAGAAGCCTTTCTGGACCCGCATGTGGTAATATTTTTATTGGTTTGTGAACGTAGATTTGGTTGATTTTTCATAGGAGTAAAATTTTTTCAAGTGATTGGTCCCATACCTTACCCACAGCCGCATGAGAAGGAGAAGAAGAAGAAGACCTTAGCTTTAAGCGATCATTCGTGTGCGGCTAACCTGTCAAGAGTGAGCTTTGCCTGAAAAAAAAACAGCTGTTGTCTGTCATTCGGGTGGCTAGGGTTCCAGAGTGGGTTGGACCAACATCCAAGATGACAAAAAAAATCATTCGCCCGAAAATCGTTTCAGGGGTTCTATATATACATATAAATAAGTATATATGTTATGTAAGTTCCAACCAACTGATTTTTAATAACCTCAACAGTAATTTATTTAAATTTTGATTGCTGGTGAAAATAGCTCTTCCTTAATTGTCATGTGTGTAATTTACTTCATTACACATACATGCATATGTACATATGTATGTTTTTCTTGTATATATGTAGATTGGTTTGTTTTATAGCTGGAAAGCATATTAAAATAAACCAAAAATGCAAATATTGTAGATTCACAAAATTGAGAAAATGTGAATTTTAAGCAAAAATTATACAAATATGAATGTATTCACATACATACATACGCAAATACATGCATGTTTTTATACTTATTGACAGTCAGCGAAAAATGTTTGCTGAATTCATACTTTCTATTTTTGCATTGATGACAAACTCTTAGCGTCGAAATGTTTTAATATTTTAATTTTTGTAGAGTTTTCGATATTTGTATGTAAATTTGTAAGTTCAATCAAGATAATTTTTTGGAAAATATGAAAAAAATTTAGAAATATTAGAAATAAAAAATTATTAACTGGCGAGAAGTTTCAATTTATGAACTCGAATACTCAAATTGTTTATGTCGAAGTTGTATTATGACAGTTGAAAACCTGAAAGAATTCTTTCAGTTACGAACATGACACGTATTTTACACGTTTTCTAAAATATTGCGCCGAAATCCTGTACGAATCTGTCGATTGCATCCCTAGAAGTATTCCGCCTTTGTTATGGAAAATATCGTGTAGAACAGCTTGGCAGTAATGGTAGTAGACCTCCGATTGAAAATTGTAGGGAAAAGACATTTAGGTATACACTTTGAAGCAATTATTACAACTCACTTAACTTTCTCCACATTGCCATTATTTTCCAGTTCCCAGCATGGGTTACGAAAAGGGAAATCTTCTCTTCTTCATTGACGAGGGTACCGCTTGCGCGATTATAGTCGAATCGACAATAGCGTACCATTCGTTTCTTCTCTTCGCTGTTTGGCGGCAGTTGAAAATATCAAGAGAAACTAGATCCCTCTCTACCTGATTTTTTCAACAGTGTGGATGTCTTCTTTTTTCCCGGTGATCGCCTTAGCCTATGCGAAAAGATCATAAATCGTTTGGAAAACTTTTTCTTCGAAGACTCCCAGCACCGACTCATCCTAAGCAAACATTGTTCACGCCCCATCATCATATGGCAGGACGTGAATGATGAGGAACTTGCCCAAGGCCCACAACTCACCGAGAGAGGACTTAACTTTTCAATGGCCTACTTAGTCTAAAGTAACACCTGATGGCAAGAGTGATTCTGCGCTGGTTTTCCAGGCGGACATTAATACTGCTCCCTATATAGACGAATTTTTATACGATCTCGATGTTATGACTATCAGTAGTAACATGGGAGCCGAGTTGAGAATGCGGAGATATTTCATTTCGTCCTCGTTCACTACCAGATCCATTTGGTTCGCCCCTTTATCAAGTCTGTAGAAAGCAGAACTCACGACGCGGTTGTTAAGGCAGTTGTACGCTCTTCTAAAAGATTGTGTCTTGTTTATTTAGCACTGCAACTAAGATTTGACGTAAGGTGAATATTTGATCAATGGTGGATTTCCTAGAGCTAAGGCTACACTAACAAAGTCCCATCAGTTTGTTGACGGTGGGTTTTAGTCTCACGATAATACCTTATTCATGATATTATGCAGTTTTATTCGGCGGTGAATTTGAAATAGATGATGATTGAAAGTATTAAAACTCACTACAGAAATTTCAATGAAAAATTATTTTGTCTGATGATTCCCATTTCGTGTCGGTGGGCCGGCAGGGGTAGTCGTTAGGTTTACTCTTCTTATAGCGAGTATAGTATGTATGTATGTAATAATTTTATTAACCTTATAATGTGTAAATAATTTATTATAATTAGCAAATAATTATAAATGTTTACCTTTCGAATATTTTGTAGTTGAGCTTCAGTAGACTACTTTTGAAGAAACTGTTTGATGCGTCCAGAAGAATGGGTCACTTAATGTTTTGAGTAATAATTCATGCAACTGTAATTATATAAAGTTTTTTTACAACAAATTAATATTTTATATTTTCAGCAAATCGTGGTTAAACATATCTTTAATAAATATACATACATAGATATTTAATTTTTTTTTAATTTTATTTTCTATTCTGAACCTTTCAGCACTAAGCTACCTGCACATACGTCATTCCGATCACTCAATATGGCTAACTATGCAAATAAAATCGCTATATTTGTAGGAAGAATATTAATTGCCGTAAAAGTGTATATTATATATATGTATGTATGTAAATGCATTGTACATTGTAGTATGTGAGTGAATTTATATAATTAATTAACAAATTAATAACCATTGAAAATATCAATCATTTTCATTTGAAATTTTCTACAGCCTAAAAGGAAGCCTTAGAAATCATGACATAAGTCATGACATTGAATGCACTTTTATGCAATAATTTATAGCATTCTTTTGAATGAAATAAGTTTGCTAGAGCAGAAAACAATAAGCAAATAGTTTACGTATTTGCCAATAGTGAAAATAACATTTTTATTTCTAGATTGATTTACGAGACATGAAAGTTATATTATATATACATATATTTGAATATATATAATTATTTTTTTTTTGAACGACGAACCCAGCGTTTCTTCCGCCGTCTGAGAGGGAATCGAAAAATCCAACAGACCGGTGACCGAAAACCAGTAACAGTCCAGACTGCTCCGAACCCGAAACCGATCGCAGAAGGTCGTGGTTACACTTGCCTCTCTACAGCTACAGATTTGTTTATTACCCGCTATAAAAATATATGTTGAAAAGGAGAATGAGTTTATCTAAAACACTCAGAAATTAGACTTTGATACTGAAAAACGAGTCAGAGGAATCAATGTTGGTGAAATGTATATTAAAATCGTTACACAAAGATCAAAAAGGGTCATGCATTTCAAATCAAGGGCCGCCACATTTCAATAAAAACAAAAATCGTATTACCTGGAGCGATTTTTGAACCGGAGTTGTGATTGGATCAGACTTCTTTGAAAACTTGAAAACTACAGCGGCCACTGTCACTGTCAATTCGAATTGTAATGATCATATGAGAACCATTTTTTTTTATCTGCATTTGAAGAACACGATTTGGACAATGTGTGGTTTCTTCAAGATGATGATACAGACCACACAACTTAGGTGGATTTGTCTCAATCTCTCATCTTGACGATGTTAATTGGGCACCGAGATCATGCAATTCGACACCGTTGCAATTTTTTGGCGAGATTACGTTAAGATCTTGTTTATGCGTCTAAACCTTTCACTATGTAACACTTGAAGACTAGCTGAGATACCGACTAATATGTGCTAAAATACGGTCGAAAATTATATCAAACGGAAGTTTGCAAAATTAGCTATGTAGGTACACAGTCAAGGCTCAAACTTAATAATAACGTAGAAATTCTATGAAAAATGTATTTTAATTAATTAAATTATTTATTTATTTAATTATAATAATTAAAATAATTTTTATTTATTTTCGAAACCTCAAAATTAATAACCCTATACGCGTGTATATACTTATTTGCATAGCTTTGAATTTTCGTGTTTAATTCAATTTCAAAATTACGCTGAAGATTCACGCTCACATCTTTCATAAGTTTTAGAATAAATTTTCAAGCTTCAGAAATATTTATGCAGGCGACCTTTACCATCAAAGTGCGACCACCTACACTCAACCAAAAAAAAGAGCTGTGCATATATATATATATATATATAATTAATGGAAATTAATGTGTAATCGATAAGTAAGAATTTACTTATAAAGAAAATTAATAGGGAAATGTATTATATACATATGTGTTATGAGCAAAATGTAAACAAAATAAAAATGGCAATGAATAAGGTGTGAGATTACAAAAAGGTGCACATAACATATTTACATACATATACATGCATTTGTACATATGAACTTGTTTACAAACGAACATACAATATTCACACTAGGGGACGTTGGAGCCGTATGTAAGAAGTAAGAAAACGCTATTCTCGTTTTCAGTCGAATAGCAAATATTCGGTTGATACTTTTTAGTTATTTAGAAGTGTAGCATAAACGAATACAGAATATTTTTATAAACTATTCATTTAAAACAATTTTTTTGTTAATAAATAATTTGAAGATACACTACTTGCTCATAGGCGAATTCTATTAGTAACAGTTTTTATGAAGTAACTGACATATTAGTAAGTGCTATATGTGGCTCTATGTATGTACTTGCTCATATCTCCATCTCAAAAGTCCATTCTACTCAGGCATATGAGAAAATTGAGGCATCCGTGCTTGGTAATCTTGAGTCTATGAGTGCAAGAACCACTTCTTTAAACCCACTGTAGTAAGGAGAATCACTTCATATACTTTCGACCGGTGTGGCATAGCTTCCGAACTCGTCTTCAAGACATCACAGTTTCTAAGCCAGTACATAACTAGTGTTCGAATGTGCTAATAGAAAGAAAGTTATAACTCTCAAACGAAATTCTATTACGCTTTCAGACTTGCTGTCAAGGTTATTGTGTGTCATCATATAACACGGCTTAAGATATTCGAATTTAAAGCTCTCCCCTCTTAACTCAGTGCTGCAAGAAGAATAGAAGCCTTGTGATAACTATAAACTGTTTCTAGAATTATTTTCAAAGTTCGGATGGACTCCTTTTAACGTTGGGGTATTTTATTTATTTTATTTAATATTTGGTCGCAACTTCGTAGGAGTTAATCTGACGCACGAAACAAGTAGCAAACGCTAATTCCCTGCCAAAGTTTTCGTGCATAAGTTTCCATAAAGGCTTTCCAAACGCAGCCACACTCTCCACAGCATAAGCACCAATCGTACATTGATAAGTTCCCCAGTTGTCGTATCAATTGGTTCTGAAAGTTGGATTTATTTTATGTCATCATCTCATCTTACACCAATTCTACTTTTGGTTATGTTGTTAGGTTAGATTGGGTAGCGCTTGGTGCCCTTCTTAGGGAATTTCACACAAACGATACTATGTTCATTGTGTTTTCAGATAATTGACAAGCGACCATTAAGTTTTGTTTTTCAGACGTTCCTTGAGGATACAAAGGCGTTTCCTATGTATTCTTTACTGCTTGGTCCATAGCTACGTCCTGCTCAGAGAGTATTTCCTATTTAGCCTGTATATAGACTATCATAACCTTTGGTACCCAGATGTCCAGGTACGCTACAAATATGAACTTCCCCTTTCCTCGCCAATCTTTTAATTGTCTCTACTGTAAAGTACGAAAATTAATTACTTGAGGCAAGCTATGAACACCGTGCTGATCACCGATAATCCATATACTCTCTGCACCCTCTTCGGATACGTTGCTTTTTCTGCAGGTTCTCACCATACACACAGTGCAAGAGTGACTGTGAAATGCTCTAAATGAAGTTCAATATCGTTTCACCCTAAACAACTCTGCGGAAGCCTTCTTAACTCGCTCCATCCGTCCATCATTATTATTATACAAACTCTACTGTAAAGCAGTTTCTGATAGCAAGGTTTGATCCAAACTGGGACTTGTTAATATGACTAGATACGTTAAACCCATGTTCCATTGGACGAGACAAGGAGTGACAGGAAACGATACGTTCCAAAAGGACTTTAATATGATAAGATAATGGATCATAAAAAATCCATGACATGAAATCTAAATTTCCCGATCCTGTTTTTTAAAACGTTACGTGAAGTAGTCTGTCCGTCTGTTTGTACGAAAACTAGTCCCTCAGTTTTTTTTTTAAATATTATAACCAACTATGTACCAAAGATGCACTGGTACATTTAAACGATCATTTGTCGGAACCGGCCAGATTGAACCATTATAGCATATATAGGACTGATTTTTCCGATTTGGTAATTCGCGTCATCAATTTCTCAGAAAAATATCTTAGAACATTTGATATTCTGAACACATATTATATAATCAACCTAACATTGGTACTGAAAATTATCAAAATCCCATGCCTATCAAAATTTCGCTCCCATACACCGATTTTTTCCGATATGAGGCTTTGGTTAAAACTCCGTCAACAAAAAGAAAAAGTGTAAGAACTTTTGTTCTATGTATTTTTATCTACAAATAAATATTGACACCGAAAATCATCGAAATTGGGAAAACTTAATCATATTGTCCCTGTTCCAACCAATTTTTCAGATATGGGAATGAGTATTAGACTTCCTCTTGAACAGCCGATTTTCGTTTCTTAAAAAAAGGTTCAAAGATTAAAATTGAAAATTCTCGGCTTTAAGTAAAGTTGAATAAGTTTACGAGTGTCATAAAGCTTTCAAAAAAGCTTTGAAGCCATTGCAAGTGACGAACACCCTGTATGCCTCACCACATCAGCAGCCGGTGATCACCGCCGGTGATCAGCATGGAAAAAGAAATAATTATGAACGCTCACCGAAGCACAACAAGAGAAGTCGCTGATGATGTTGAAATATCGAATGGATCATGAATGAATGTAATTGGCAAGGAAATTTGTTGCAAAATTGTTGAACAAAAACAGGAGCGTACGGAAGTTGCTCAGGAGACACTAAATGTCAACAACTACCGCATGAGCCGGTTAACCTCATGAGTCAGCAAGATTCTTAGCTTGGAAAATTAACAAACATATCTACATACGTGTATGTAAAGAAACGAATATCGTAAATGGCAACATCTACTTAACGAATATCAAAATATTACACCCTCTGATTTTATTACGTAAACTTATTAATAAGCAATGCGGCAAAGAAATAAATGTATGTTTATATGTAGCATAGAACTACATACATACATACATATATACATAATGTACATGTGGCCAAGAATGTGGGTGTGCTAAGACTTCCCTTATATGTAAAGGAAATCAAGTACGAGTACTTGACGAATGACACACATTGCCTTTAAAGAAATGACGTCATTCTATTTGGTAGCAGATGACATGAGAAAGTATATACAAAATATGTTTGTATACATGTACTACGATAGAAAAGCAATG